ATAATCACATTACTCCATTTCTACCGCACTCTGATCGCTTTGAGGGCAATTTCTATCGATGGGCGACCATGGATCTGCCAACCATGTAGATGCACTACTTGCTTGCCAATCACTTGTTTTGCACTTATCAGCAATGAGGTGGCGGTAGACATAAACGAGATTGTAGCTAGTTTTTGATGGACTCACAGCGATCCAACCAACGATTAGATGAAGCTGAGACGTAAAAATCATTCGAGGTTTAGGCTATTCCTTTCGGGGTAGAAAGAAGCAAAATTCTGCAGATCCAAGAAGAAGCAACTCGGAAAAAAGCACAATCTGTTACTAACTACAAATTCACTTGTCTATCGAGTTTGATGGCAGATGTAATGTTGCCTATTTCTACACATTTTCTACAAAAATATGAATTTTGCGAGACTTTTTTTGCCGAACAATACGAAATTTTGATATTGCTTCATTGTATCTTTCATTGAAGTCTGAAGCTAAATGCATTTACAAGATAAAAATGATAAAATTTTGCGCAAAAATTAACAATTCACCTTATTATATCATTTACTGATTCGCTGTCAGTCCGCTACGTATCTAAATCAAATAAACTCATTTTTCAGTTTGCGTTTTTAGGCCGAAAGGGTTGAATCAAAGTCTCTCGTTCGAGACATAATTCAAGATTTTATCACGCATTGCAAAATGTGATTTTTATTTAGATTGGACTGATGCTCCTCAACCACTGTTCCCGAGGTTTACACGAATAGCCCAATGAGTTTGCACCTGACGTCTTACATTTCGAGCTCGAATATCGTTAATTTGAATGAAGGAATATGGCAATGGCTCTTTATTAAGAATTATGCATATTATCGAATACTACTCTCAGTGGAAATAAGTAGTACCGTCTATTGTAAAGATAAATATAGTTTTGTTTGAGTCATACTTTGCCTGTAAAATGTGCTTTGGGAGAGGCAGAGCCTGGCTTAAATGGCACATCCGCCCCGCTGGTAACGAGACCTGGGCAGCGTCGAAAGTGACGTTAAGTTGGGACGAGGTGAAACTAGAGCCAATGATCAACTCGTTTGCTTGTGGAGCCAAATCCACTATCAATCCGTAATTCATCTTAAGCAGTCAGGATTAGGATCATGGTGGAAAAGAACCAATCTACCAAAAGGGACCATTCAATTAGCTGATGCTATTACATCGTCATGTTGGTCTATGAAAACGGTATCCGCTCTTGGCATAATGACTGGAAGTAGGGCCCGAAAGAAGAGCTTCGTGCCTCAACTCCAAACAAATGATACAGTTGATGCCGGTACCGAGGCCCCTTTTGTGTTCGACATGTTGCTAGGCCGACTAGTATGCTTAAATTGGAGCGGGTGCACTGTGAGGCTGTGATGATTGGGATTGACTAACATCGCCCAATATGGTCAAGTGTCGTCTTGTGGGCATGAGGTCGGAAACGGGGTCTAATGTTGGTCACATTGAGTGCGAAATTCCAACAAATGAGGCCGACCGAGACAGTCGAGCTAGCGATGGGGCTGGTAAGCATGGATTATCACATTTCACATCCTTCAAGTGTGCGCTCTCAAGGCATCACCCCAGCCGCGGTAAGTTGAGAGGAGTGATGTCGGTGACTTGTAGAGACATGGAGATGAGATGGCGCCAAGTTATCGGCTAAATTTAGTCATAACCGTCGGCATATCGCTTGCAGGATGCTTATTTCGGCAGTACAGAAAAGATGGAGAAGAGGAGGGAGGCTAGGCGGGTGACGGCATCATCACACTCCACTTGGCATGCATGCAAATGAGTTGATGCTTCAAAGAGATGCAATCAGCCGAGGGTGAATCACAGTGAATGCAAGTGGGGCAGTCGATTGCACGGGCAGGAGAAACTAACTTTTGGGAAGCAAGGCTATGTGAAAGTAAATGGAATAGGGAGGTCTTTTCATATGATTGTATGAAAATTCAACTAACACAGTCCTTGATCGCCTAAAACGAAACTACAGGTTCGCTTCATCAAAAGTCTCACTATAAGCTGGGGTATGAGAGTAGCCTGGCCTGAATTGTCTTTAAATGCACACCTTCTCTATGACCTCCTGGCACTCGTGGAAATCTGGCAGCTGTGTATAGATGCGCTGGTGTGTGTGTGTGTGTGTGTGTGCTTGTGGTAGTTTGCCAACAGTAATTCGACTCTAGTTGCATGCTCTGAGAGACACAGTCGAGAAATAATGGAACTATAGATTATGCAAACATACATTTTACCATTACTCACGAGTATGCTACTTATATCTTTAGGAAGTAGTTAATGTCGAAAACGAGTTCATTTGACAATTATAATATTTCACAATCCTTTCGTATACTTGGAAGACCTACAATCGAAAATTTTGCAACTAACCGCATTTTCGAGGCAACATTAAGTTGGCAAAAAGGCCAATCATTATGAACTATCCTCACTTTTCGAAAGTTTTATTATAATACTATTAAAGGACAAAAATTTTCCTTGAAGAATGTAACAATTCTAGAAAACTCATAGATTCAAATTGACAGATGCTAGAATTCAGCCATAATCATCACCACCCTGTGCGACCTAGATTGACTACAGCCATATGCAAATATCTACTGACAATATTGAAACCTACTCATTCTGAATCTTAACTGATAGTTAGTGCATGCGAAAAAAATTGGGTTTCAAGCATTTTTTATGTTCACATTTTTGAGAGCAAGTGTGTAATGAAGAGACTAAAAGGTCAATCCCACCGGAAAATGAACAAATTGTTTTAAACCTCCTAAAATGCTAGTTTTCGTGCACTATAGGCCAGTTGTTGGTTGGATTATTATCGAATGTTCTGGACGTCTAGAGAATGGCATGCAGCAGATTGTTCTAGAACAATCCAACAGACAGCAGATTAAGAGCAAACAACCTTCCTCTCCTGACGGGATCCATTTTCAAATCTCTTCTTCAGACACAAAAATGGGCCCAACATTTATAAAACGAAAGACACTGTATCTTTAGTAAATGAGTAAAGTTAATGTATAGAACTAATGTAGATGTGATTTTTGCTTTTTTCCTGCAAAGTATCAAAACTAGTTGATAGATAGTGGTTTAATGTCCTGGAAACTGGGAGGATCAATAGAGTTCGAGCGATTCTGCTTAGATCCACCTCACACTATGGAGATAAGGTTACCAACCAGTAGAGGATAGAACGAGAGTCAAATGCTCGCTTGTTCATGCGTGAAAAGGAGGACCCTCTGCTCAAAACTAAATTGCCGACCGGTCTCTGCGCAGCTTCTTCATCGTTCTGTAGCTCCTCTAAACTCTACGGTGTCGACAGCTTGCCACTACGTGACATTTTCACATGTCACTTTGGGCGACAGGACGGCAGAAGCTCGAGAGCGGCTGTACTCGTTACAGAGCATCGAATCGAGCGCATTCACACAAAGCCTGTCACACGTCGACGCGACGCAATGGGTGTTCAAAGTGTGGTTGTCACCGAACATGGGGACGTGTGATTTAAGCGTCGCGCAGATTGCAAACGGAATGAGGTGAACGGTTTCTTTTTTGTAAGAAAGACTTTTCCGTTGCCATACCTGTCTGAGGGCTCTGAAGGAGAAGAACATTTCTACGGATTAATTTCATATGATCGTCTGTTTGCAGAGGAGTGTGCAAACATACGCAAATCGGGCACCGCCCATTGAGTAAGAGATAAATGCCAACTTGAGGACAGCATATCAAAATCACACACCATAATCCGTTTGGTGTTTGACCTTTTCTCACCGATAAGCAAATAAACGCCAAACTATTTATTAAACACAACAATTTTTTCCAATTAATTGTTTATTTTATTTTGTTTAATAATCAATAATGTTATCCAAACCCCTTTTTTTTATTTAGTCCCTCTACTTCCTGCGCTAGTCTTTGTCTTATTTTCTCTATCCTTGGCTGTCAATTATCTTTTCTTATTTAAAATACATATGAATTATAAAGTAATTGAAATATATACTTATATGATAAAATATATTCTGCTTTACACAAATAATGATTATTTTCTGAAACTAGCAGTTAATCTTGAATAAGAACTTAATCAGGCTGATTGAATATATGAAGACCAAGATGTTGTGGCCTCTGGTGGGGTCGCAGTCTCCTTTCGATTGATAGAAGT